GGAGGGAGAGCCCCTCCATGACTGTGAAGAAATTATAAAAGAGATTATCTCCTCACTGTAAGGAAAAGGTCTGAGCTCACTTTATGGGTTTGAAAACCTACCAATCCCTGAGCTCAAAAGCCCACCAAGTCCTGAACTTGAAAGCCCACCAATATGTAGGGTTTTTTTATCTTTGGAAGCCTGCCACCCAAATAAATACATGGAGACTTATTCTTGCTTATGAATGCCTGGCCTTAGATTGGTGTTTCTGGCCAGCTTTTCTAACTTAAAATTTCCCATTTCTCTTGAACTACATTTTGCCTGTGAGCATTTTTTTAGGTAAAAGCAGTAAGTTTAATTAGTTAAAACCAAGTTTGCGGTGGGGGTTAGGGTCAGCATCACTTCTAGGAGCTAAGAACTGAATGTGTGGAGAAGTGACCAAATGCTCCCTGTACGCATTCCACCGTGCCTTCAAGTCACTGAGCACAGAGTCCATGGCCCAGCGCCAGGTCAACTTCTAGCCAGCGTGTGCAGCTCAGAGATCCACAGGGCAAGGAGTCCCCATCCATACCTGCTCCACAGGCACCTCCAGATCAGAGTCACCTGAGGGGCATGCTGCACTGGGAGCCCAGGAGAGGGTTCAAAAGAATGAGGGGTCTTAAAAGGACCATCTGTGACATCAGCACAGGGGCACAAAGAGGCAAGAAAACCAACCACACGTGTACCCAGGAAGGGAGAAGGCTCAGGACACAGACAGGCCAGGCTCACGGAAGCGAATAGCAGGAGGGACTGCCAGCCTGGAAACAGTCCCTCAACTCCAGCTCTATGTCACCAATCTGGATATGGTCCACTAATTTCCAGAACCTTGAGTCTGTCCCCCAGTATAATACCAGAGAATGTTGCTGCCCCATCCCTGTTATGAGTTGGATGGTCGTGACTAAATCCCCGCCTGGCAGCCTTCCAGAGTTTCTGCTTCTCATCCCTGTAGTAACCAGGTCTTACAAAGGTCAGACTGAGTGAGGAGCCCCTCAAGAGGCCTGCTTCCTTAAAATACAGTTCTGCGGGGTCGACCTCTGAACTTTTTACTATATATACATACATACATACATACATATATACATATACACATACACACACACCACACACACCACACACACACACACACACACACACACACACACACACACACACACACACATATATATATATATATATATATATATATATATATATATATATATATATATCTTGCTCCATGGCTGGTTGTGTGTCTGGGAGACTGGTCCCTGGTGTCCTCCTCTCCTCCTTTTCTCTCTCCTTCAGAGGAAAAACTAACAAACAAAAACTGATAAGGTCCACTGAGATGGCTCAGTGAGTAAAAGTCCTGCTGTCAAGCCTGAGGACCTGAGTCCGATTCCCAGGATTAACTGCAGGAAGAAGAAAACCAACCCTTGCAGGATGTTTTCTGGCCTCTGCATGAACGCTGCCGCATGTCCACACACCCCACACACGCTCAATAAATAAACACATAAGTTTAAATGTAAACCAAAAAAACTGAAATGGGGCTACTAAAAATCAGGAGGGCTGGCTGAACGCCACAAATAGACCAATAATAACCACAGTGGCCACAGCTCCCAGCCTAGTCCAGCAAGCTCACACAACAACCCCTCTGGCGGAAACCACCGTATGGGAACTGTTGCAAGAATATTGTTGTCTACAAAGTGAGTTCCAGGACAGCCTCCAAAGCTACAGAGAAACGCTGTCTCGAAAAAACCAAAAAAAAAAAAAAAAAAAAAAAAGAAAAGAATATTGTTGTGTTGGCGCCTTTGATCCCGGTACTCGGGAGGCCAGTCTAATCTACAGAGAGAGTTGGAGATCTGGAACAGCCAGGGCTGTCTTGAAAACAAGCAACAACAAAAAGAAATGTTGCAAATATATTTGGTGGTCCCGAAGTTGCCAACACTGGCCCAATAAACTAGTGTGCTCAGAATAATCCCAAGCAGGGTGCCAGGGCCCCATGCTGACATAAAAACTAGGGTCCTCCCCATTTAAACATCTAGAAAGTGATCTTTACTGACATTGAGCCGGACAGAAGGTACCGATACTTGCTACTTGTGGTGTGCACAGTCTCAGGCTGGGTAGAATCCTTTCCTGCTGCACAGAGAATTAACTTGGAACTTGTGCACATGCTACCACCCCAACCTCTAGGCATGATTGTGAAAATAAATACGACTTTTAAAAAGGCCAGAGGCTGGAGAGATGGCTCATTGGTTAAGAACACTGTCTGGTCTTCTAGAGGAGCTGGGTTCAATTCCCAGTAACCAGTCCTGAGTTCAATTCCCAGCAACCATATGGTGGTTCACAACCATCTATAGTGGGATCTGATGCCCTCTTCTGGCATGAAGTTGTATGTGCATATAGAGCACTCAGACATAAAATAAGTTTTTTAAAAAAAGAAAATGAAAAAAAAAATGGCACTGACCAAACATTTCCCAGAAACAGACTTTCCTTGACTGGAGATTCTGTCACCTGTACTGTTTGGGGTGCACCATATGCTCTGTAAATGTTACTCTCCTTTTGAAACAACGCTTAGCCACCCATCACTTCCATTGCGCCCAAAGAATTCAGGGGACCTCTGAAAGTATGGACACACCTACCTCCAGTGTTGTTTTTGTTTTTTTTGTTTTGTTTTGTTTTGTTTTGTTTCTGTTTTTGAGACAGGATTTCTCTGGTCACCCTGGAACTCATTCTGCAGACCAGGCTGACCTCAAGCTCACAGAGATCCCCCTGCCTTTGCCCCCAAGTACTAGGACTAAAGGTGTGTGCCACCACCACCTGGCTTCCAGAGGTCCATTTTTTAATATTTTTAATTTTATTTATTAGCCAGGTGTTGGTGGTGCACGCCTTTAATTCCAGCACTCAGGAGGCAGAGGCAGGCAGATCTCTGGGAGTTCGAAGCCAGCCTGGTCTACAGAGTGAGTGCCAGGACAGGCTCCAAAGCAATAAAGAGAAACCCTGTCTCGCAAAACCAAAAAAAAATATTTTTATGTGCATTGGTACTTTGCCTGTATGTATGTCTGTGTGAGGGTGTCAGATCCCTTAGAACTGGAATTATAGACAGTTGTGAGCTGCCATGTGGGTGCTGGGAATTGAACGTTGGTCCTCTGGGAGAATAGCCAATGCTCTTAACCGCTGAGCTATCTCTCCAGCCCTTCAGTGGTTTTTGACATTGCACAAAAAGCTGGAAATGTCTCCTCTCACCACAAGGCTGGACCTGAGCAAGGACTGCACTATGCGAGTTGACCCAGACTAGCCTCTGAAACTGGCCATCTCTAAATGACTTCAAGATGGAGACAATGGCTCAACTTCTCCTGTGCCCCCTGAAGTCCTTCCTGATCCCATGGATGCCCATCTGAGCCAGTTCCCCAACCTCATCCCGGGGCAGCTCCAATTCCTGGACACGCAGCATCATTTCCAGCTTCGTCAGAACTAGAATAAAAGCAACAAAACTACAGATGATGAACCAGGATAGCAACCCACTTCTTCGGGATAGGTTCGTAGGTCTTACCAAACTAAAGAGAGCATGAAGAAGAATGAGGTTTAAAAAAAACACCAATCATTAGACACTGATGCATTAGTTTATTTAGCGATTTGCTCAAAGCACTGCTTGTACTATTTGCAAGTGGACCTCACTTGTTATCTGGCACAGGATGACCTGGAGAAATAGTTGAAGCGATGGGCTGCTGCCCTCCCATAAAAGCCATGAAGGCTTCTGTAAAGTCTCACTTGCTTGCCCCACCGGTGGTTTTAGAGTATAAAATGAGAATACAAGCTGGACTGGGGACTAAAGCCTTTCAGGAACTATACTGGTTGTGACAACTCTTCTCTTCCTCTGTCTTTGTTGTCTGGGTGCTTATTCCAGAAAGAGTCCCATATAAAAGGATTTTCCTCCTTGTTTTTCTCTTCATGTCTTTTAAATTCTCTTTCTGTCCATCTCTGTCCCTCTGCTCTGTGCGTGCGTGCGTGTGTGTGTGTAAGAGAGAGAGGACAACTGGGGGGAGTCAGTTTTCCTCTTCCTCGGTATGAGTTCTGGAGACTGAACTGAGCTTGTCAGTCTTGGCAGCAGGGGTCTCCCTCCATTGACCCATCTCTCTAGTGCTGTTTTTAGATTTTTGAGCCAAAGTCCGTAGACCTTGACACCATATAACTCACAATAGCCTCAAATCCATAGCAACACACTTCAGTGGAATTAGAGACACACATCACTGTGTCTGGACCGGTTCTTATTTTTATTTTATTTTTTATGTATATATGTATTTATATTTATGAGAAAGGCTGTGTCAGAGCTGCATCCCTAACCTCAACTGTTTTAAATAGAATACTGCCTGAGCATAGAAGTTACATTTTTAGGTCCACGGTGTGATTTCTTAATTAAAACTACTATTCTTGCTGGGCGGTGGTGGTGCAGTGCCTTTAAAGCCAGCATCCAGGAAGCAGAGGCAGGTGGATCTCCCGAGTTTGAGGTTAGCCTGATCTACAGAGTGAGTTCCAGAACAGCCAGCGATACAGAGAAACCCTGTCTTGGAGAGGGGGGTGGGAAGGGAAGAAAATTTTAAAAAGACATGAAAGTAGAAAGACTAAGGGGTTTTGTGGGAGGAGAAGGGAGTAATAGAAGGTAATGGGGGAATTTATCAAAGTACATTACATACGTACGAAATTGTAAAGCTTTAAAAACTCAAAAAACTACTATTCCCAGCATATCCTTGGGAAGGGAGCTTTGGGATGGGCATCATTTGAACCACATTTCCCGAAATGCAACGCTCATTTCGCCCACTTTTAGCCTATGGGAATTGTCGTTATACAGAGATCTTCGGCCACAAAGTCCAGCGTGCATTTCGAGGCTAGGTCTCTTGCTAGGAAAAGGGCAACCGCAGAGCATTCTGGGAAGGCGTCCGGACAGGGGGAACCCTTACTCTCCGACGCATGCGTTTAAACTACAACTCCCAGAGGGCCGTGCATGAGGAGGAAGGCGGGTTCTCCAGCCGGAAGTCAGCTATAACCCTGGGCCCCCACAACTGCAGGCAGAGCCGGAGCCGCCCAGTTTCCGCGGGACCGGGCCTCTGGGGTCCGGACAGGGGTCGCCATGGTAACGGGGGGAGCGTCGTACCGGGGACGGTCAGAGGGAGGGTCCACGCACGGACCGCGGAGTTTTCAGTTCGGAGCTGACAAGCTTCCTCCTGCCGTGGGTGGGCCGGGCCGGGCGCAGGCTCTCGGAATTGGGGTCGGAAAGGGGGGAATCAGGGCCTCGATGCTGCACCGTGGGGTGTGCTTGGGGTTCCAGGCAAGACATTTGGGGGAGATTGTGAAACCCTAGAGGCGGGAGACGACGTCGGAGGCGAGGAGTAAATGATGGAGAGCGAGAGATTCTACAGAAGAGGGGGTAGGGAGGCTTCTGTGTGGGAAGGAAGGAGCTGGCTTTAGGGAGCGCGAGTGTTGGGACAATTTGGGTACGGCCAGGGGGAAAAACTCAAGGGAGGAAGAGGACCCCGGAGACCGGAAGTCAGCCCCTGTAGGATTAGGGTTAGGTGTCTGCCAGAAGAGAGAGGGAGGGCTCTGGAAGTAGAGTGTGGATTCTAGAAGAGAATGGGCGGCAGCTGAACGGGAAAAAAACTTGCCATAGAGGAGAGGTCTGGGGTGCAGAGTGGGCTTGGAGACGTGACATTTGAGGTCGGGTTGGGGGTGCCTTGGGAGCGAGGACTGAGCACTGGATTTCGGGGGGACCTCCACCTCCAAGATGGGGCTTTTGGAACTAAAAGTTCTTTGGACGGGGGCTTGGGAAAGACGATGAATGATGGGGGGAGGGGGCTCGGGACAGGAGATGAGCCATCGCCCAAGGACTAGGGGACTTGGAGGCGCGGTGTGACCTTTGTCACAAGGGAGGCCAGCCTAGGAAAGAGAGAGCGGATGCTTGTAATACAGGCTAGAAGAAGCTTCACAGGAGGGGGGGCAAAGGGGAGGAGAGGGGGTTGGAAGGAACGTCAGGGGGCAGGGGAGATGGTTGGAAGGCTCCGTGACGGGGATGGATACAGTGACAAGGGGCTTCTCAGATGCGTTCCCGGGGTTGGGATGATTCTCACTGGAGGGAATCAAAGGAAGTATTGGGTGGGGGTAAGGACACTCAACTCAGCCTTCCAGCCGCTCTTCCTGTGTGAGCCTGAGCCTGGCTCTGCCTTAGCCTGCCTGCTGCGCACACCCCGTTCCGCCCTGGGTTGCCCAGAACTGGGTTTCCCTGGCTCAGCAGGGGGAGTTCTTAGAAGGAGCGCGTAACATCCTGTTCCCGTTTCTCTGCTAAGGATGGGTAAGGCGGATAGATCTGAGCGAAGAGTAAGGCTTAGGGAAGACAGTGGAGGCCCGTAAAGAACCCAGGTGGCGCACGCCTTTAATCCCAGCACTCGGGAGGCAGAGGCAGGCGGATCTCTGTGAGTTCGAGGCCAGCCTGGTCTACAGAGTGAGTTCCAGGACAGCCTCCAAAGCCACAGAGAAACCTTGTCTCGAAAAAACAAAACAAACAAACAAACAAAAAAAGAACCCAGGGCTCAGGGTAAAGACTAAAAGCTGCTAGCTTGCAGGGGTGATATCTGCTTTCCGTGGACCTTAGCTTTATCATCTGTAAAATGGGCAGGAGCACACCTGTCTAGGACAGATAGGGCTCAAAGCCAGTCTTCCCAGCAGGGAAACCGTGGTTTTCTCCTTTTTCAGTTTTTTTTTTTTTTTTCTTCTTCAGTGCTAAGGATTGAACCTAGGGTCTTGGGGTATACTGCATAAGTGCTTTGCCCTCAGCTAAATCTCCAGCCTTGTGGTTTCTCCCCCCCCCTCCTTCCTATTCCTCCCCCTCTGTGCGCTCTGGCTCTTTTATCCGTGTGTGTGTGTGTGTGTGTGTGTGTGTGTGTGTGTGTGTGTGTGTGTTGAGGATGAAGCCAGGGCCTTGTGTGTGGTAGTCAAGTACCCCGCCACTGAAGGCTTCAGCCCTTCCTGTGTGGGGGTCCGAAGTAACCTGCAGGACAAGTTCTTTCCTTCCACTGTGTGGGTCTCAGGGATCAAACCCGGGTCCTCAGGCCTGTGGACCTGTCCCCACTGAACCGGCTCCCTTCTTTTCTTTTCTATTTTTTTAGAAGGCTTATTTATTATGTCTGTCTACACACCAGAAGAGGGCGCCAGCTCTCATCACAGATGGTTGTGAGCCACCAAGTGCTTGCTGGGACTTGAACTCAGGACCTCCGGAAGAGCAGCCAACACTCTTAACCTCTGAGCCATCTCCCAACACCCCCCCACCCCGCCTTTTTGTATTTTTCTTTTTGAGACAGGATCTTGCAGGTAGCTGAGACTGTTCTTGAACTCCCAGCCTCCCTGTCTTAGCCTTCACACTAGCTGCGATTGCAGATGTACGTCACTATCTGGCTTAGACGTGAGTTCCTGGAAGAGAAATGACCATGCACTTTATAATGCTACTAAGAGGTTGGGTTTTACGATTGTAGTGTATAGTAGCCATGTGCTGCACCTCTTATAGGAGTTATCCTGTTCATTAGTCTAATGAAGGAGGACATCCCATTACCCCCATTACACAGAAGGGGAAGCTGAGGCCCACGGAGGTTAAGTGGTCAGCCCATGAGCATACAGCCACTGTCTGATAGTGCTAGGCTGAATTCTAGCTCAGCAGTGTGTGCTTCTAGCTATGCGATCGAATGCTTATTTTACTAGGGGCTCAGTGGGCGCTTGGTACTGCGTGCTGTGCTAAGTTGTGGCTATAACTCCTCCAGCTGTCGTTTTGTTTGCTGTGGTACTGGGGAATGAGCCCCAGGCCTTGAACGTGCTAAGCAAGAACTCTATCACTGCAGTCCACCCTCTTTATTTTCAGACAGGGTCTGACCAAGTTGCCTAGGTCGCCTCAGCTTCCCAAAAAGCCGGGGTAACAGGCCTGTGCCACCAACTCCAACCTGACTTCCTCAGCTTTCAGAATTGCCCTGTGACAGGTGACCTAGTGTTTGGGGAATCTTAGTAACCAATTTCTGAGCCAGACAGAAAATAGTCAGGCTAACACAGTGTGTGGTCTCAGCCATAGGTGGATGTCATACATTGCTTGCCGCTCGCGGTAAGCTGAGGCCCCCGAGCAGTTACCGTACTTACGCTCTGCCTGGCAGGCCTGAGGCCCCATGTTCCATCCCAGAATTCAGCGAAACAGACAGACAGACAAACGGGCTGCCCAACAACCTGAGCTTAAAACCAGGAACCCAAGGTGAAGGGGCGAATGGCCACCCTCAAAATCCTTGGGCCTCCACACAAACAGATGCTCTGGGAAGCAGCATAACACTTCCTGGAAAGGATAAACAGTTTCCATACAGCCTGACAATCCTGCTCCTAGGTGTGCAGCCATAAAACAAGGAGTGCACACACAGAGACTTGTGTAGCATTTTTTCACGGCAGCCCAGAAATGGAAACTATCCAGTTCTCCATCAGCTGAAGAAGAAAACGATGGGGTGCTGTAGGTCCGTGCGGTGGAGTCGCATTTGGCTGTAAAGAATGGAAGTGGGCAGGATAGGCCTGTAATGTAGCATCTTCAGGCTGAGGTAGGAGGACCTGAAGTCCCAGGTTGGCCTGGTAACAGTGAGTTCCATGTCACTCTTGGCAAAATGAGAGGAGGGAAAGTGCGTACTAGAATTAGTGGTGACGGCTGTACAACTGTGAATGGGCTAAGGGATTACCCTAAACTATCCTTACAACATTTGAAAGGGTGACGGTTCTGGTATCTGGCTTTGGGTTGTTTTTTTTGAGACTGTGTTTCGATATGTATGTAGCCTTGGCTGGTCTGGAACTCAGGATGTAGACCCAGCTTGCGTCATGCTTAACAATAATTCTCCTGCCTCTGCCTCCAGGGTGTTGGGATTCTATCAAGCACCCGCAGAGCCAGCTGGTGTGTGAATTCTGTTTAGTGAGCAGGCTGGAGACATGGCTTGGCGCCCAAACATACCGAGTAAATGGTGATCCTCAGCCCCCATGTGAGCCGCTGAGCGTGGTAATCCAGCCCCAGTCCCAGAACCAGGAGGGCAGAGTCAGGGGAACCCTGGGTCTTATGGCCAGCCAGCCAAGAGGGTGAGCCACAGCTTCAGTGAGAGGCTGAGACTGAGAACTGCCCCAAGGAGACCTTGTCTTAAACAGCAGAAAAGCCAGGGCTGGAAGGATGGCTCAATGGTTAAGAGCGCCTACCGCTCTTGCAGAGGATCCGAGTTTGGTTCCTCGCGCCCCACAACCACCTGTAACTCCAGCTCCAAGGGACCTGACGCTTCTGGGCTCTGTGGGCACCTTCACTCAAGTGCACATACGATGTTGCGTGGCTGAATAGTCAAGTTTGAGACCCTGTCTCAAAAAGAGAAAGGCGTATGTAGTAGGAACTCAGAGGAAGTCCATTGATAACTTGTTGCTCAGTGGTAATGCCTATCATCCCCTGCAGGGGGTGTGGCTCGATTGTGGAGCCCCTGCCTAGAATTCCCCAGTGAGGATCTGGGAGTGTGGCTCAGTGGTAGAACCCCTGCCTGCCTTGCACAAGGCCTTGGGTGCTTCTCCAGCACTGTAACACACACACACACACACACACACACACACACACACACACACCATCTCTGATAAAGCGGGAGGGGGGCATCTTAGGAAACTTGATTTGAGGGTGAGGAAGTAGCTTCTGAGATGCATATAAGATGAACTAAAGCCTGGGACTTTACTTCCACTCGATGGAAGAGGGGTTACAGGGACTTGGATGGGGCCCATGTCCAGTGTGACCATTAGAGCCCAGGGAGGCAGCCACAAGAAGCTGGCTACGGGGAGACCCTGGAGCCCTGCCACCTTCCCTATAGGGCGTGTGGTGGCACCCACCCGGAGCCATGCCCCTGCCTCACTTCCTCCCCTGCTTGCTTTAGATCCGCTTCATCCTCATCCAGAACCGGGCGGGCAAGACTCGCCTGGCCAAGTGGTACATGCAGTTCGACGATGATGAGAAACAGAAGTTGATCGAGGAGGTGCACGCCGTGGTCACCGTCAGGGATGCCAAGCACACCAACTTTGTGGAGGTGACTGACACCCTTCCCATTCAGCCCCCTTCTTCCCTGGCACCTCTGGCTCCTGCCCGCGACCCCCTCTCCTCCATCAGTCCACTCCACATGCTTCTAGCTGGTTGTATTTTTCAGGTGCTGGGGGTGTGGCTCAATGCGTAAAGTGGTTGTTGCATAGCATGAGGAGTTGAATCTGGATCCTCAACAGCCACAGACTTGGTTCAGGTGACTTTTTTAGCCAAGATGTAAGGGGCTGAGGGAGTCGAAGGTGTTTTCAGAACAATAAACATTCCAGGCCCCGGGGGAGTGGCCAGTGCAAAGGCCCTGGGGCGGAAGCGCAGGTGGAAAGTTCCAGATTGAGCTTGCAGGGAGAGTCAGTGAGGCTGAGACTCTGCCACAGAAGGGTCTCAAGCAGTATGACGTAGGTTGGCAAAGCTTCCAGGACCTCCGGTAGGTTTGGGTATTGTTTGCTTCTTATTGTGGGAGAGAGCATGAATGCCACAGAGCGTATGCGTTTGAGGGGTCAGAAGACCACTCTGTAGTCATTGTCTCCTTCTACCTTAGGATGGACCTCAGGGGCCCAGCTTGGAAAGTGCCTTTACCCAATGGCCGTATTTCCGTTTCAGTTTTGACTTTCTGTTGTTAGTTTTTTAAATCAGAGTCTCATGTGCCTCCAGCCTGCATCAAACTCACTATCTAGCTGAGAATAGCCTTAAATTTCTAATTCTGCTGCCCCTGCCTCCCAAATGTTGGAATTACCTTGGTTTGACTCTTTTGAGACAGGGTCTCGCTCTGTAGGCCAGGCTAGCCTGAAATTCGCTGTGTGGTGCAGGCTTGCTTTAAACTTGAAGTAAACCTTCGGCCTCAGCCACTTGGGGGCAGGAAACACAGACTGACTTTAAACTCATGATCCTCCAGCCTCAGCCTCCTTAGTGCTGGGAGTACAGGCCTGTACCACCACACCTGGCTAGAACCCCCCTTTAGGGAGCGAGACCAGAAGCAGGAGACACTCACGGTGGTGCCGATGGGCTTGCAGCAGGGGTGGGTGGAGGTGCAGAACAGGAGGGAGGTGTCTGCTGTCATTCCATAGAGAAGTTGGGAGACAGTGACAATCACCAATAATGGAACAGAAGTAACGACCCAGCACCTGGGAGACATCCGGGCTCAGGAGCTCACTGGGACAGTGGAGAAGCACAGGCCAAGTGCCACCCCATGTCATTCCAAGTCCTTACCAGGTAGGCAGCTCAGGAGCCCCATTGCACCTTGAGCCTGTTAGAGAAGCCGAGCGCGTCCCTGGTGTCCCTGGTGCAGCTGCCGCTTGACGCCAGCCATATCCTAATTCCTGAGCTATGAGTATGTGACACCAGTGGCAACGGGGACGTTGCCAATAAATCTAAAGACACTTGGTGGGTGCTAGGCCTGGTGGTTCATGCCCTTAATCCCAGCACCCAGGAGGCAGAAGCGGGCAGATCTCTGTGAGTTCAAGGCTAGCCTGGTCTCCATAGAGTACTCCTGGCCAGCCAGAGCTACACATTGAAACCCTGTCTCAAAAACTAAAAATGTATGGAAGGCTGAAGATATAGCACAGTTGGTCAAGTGCTGGCCTAGGGTGCATGAAGTCCTGGGCGCAAGTCAATCAGAACCACGTGGCGTGGGCATGGTAACATGCCTGTAACTTGAGAGGCCGAGGTGACAGGTTAAGGAAGTTGAAGTCGGCCTCAGCTACACAGTGAGTTTAAGTCCAAGGTAAGCCACATAGACACTGTCTCAGAAAAAAAAAAAGTGTGTGCCTGTAACCTAACCCTGAGGTGCGTGCCTGTAACCTAACCCTGAGGTGCGTGTCTGTAACCTAACCCTGGGTGCGTGTCTGTAACCCAGGCACTGAATTCTTGTGTGTGTTCATGTTTGTGGCAGGGCAGGGTGTGGAGGTCAGAGGTGAGCCTTGAGTGTCATTCCTCAGGAGCATCTACCTCGTGTCTGAGATAGGATCTGTGGTTGAGGCCTGGGGCTCACTGCTCAGTCGAATCTGATTGGCCGGGAAGCTCCAGGGACCCAGCCACCTGTCTCAGCCTCCCCAGCACTCTGGTTGAAGCATGTGCCCCACCCTATTTTTGTTGCATAGTGAGCACTTTATGCATGAGCTATTCCAGCCCCCCTCCCCCTCCCCCACCCCATCCTCCCCACCCACCCACCCCGTAGCCCTGGCTGACTCCAGCCCTGACTATCCACCCGTCCCTGCCTCTGAGGGGACACTTCCCCACACATGGGAAGCTGAGGCGGAAAGATCAGGAAGAGGTTGAAGCTAGTCTACTCTGTATATAAAGTTCCAACCGGAGTTACATAGAGAAACTCTGTCTCAAAAATAGGAAGTGAAATAATAGGAAGGATGAGTGGAGCTGAAGAGTAAAAAAACTCCAGGATGCACAAAATGTGTAGTTCCCACAGTTGCCACCAGGTGGTGCTCCACACACATCCCAGAGAACCAGGATTTACCTAAACACCAGCTACATCCATGTCTGTGTCTGTCAGTAGGGCACGCCTCCTTTTGTATTTTCAGTATGCTGAGGCCAGATCCAGGGCCTTCTGTGTGCTAGGCAGGTGATCCACCGCTGAGCCACACCTCCAGCCCGTGTCCATTTCTGTCACTGTTTAGTATGCGTGCTAATTAACTCACAGAATTAAGTGTACCCCAGCACAGGTGGCTAACTTGTGAGCCCTGTGAGCATTGTTCTGATATTTACAATGTGTCATTTGGGCTTCCATTGCCTGAAACTCTGAAACCCAAAATGACCCAACGTAAGAAACTGCTGTGTGATGTGTGTGTGTTGCCCAGGCTGGCCTGAGGCCGGGCTGAAGTGATCCTCCTTCCTCTCAGCCTCCTGAGTAGCTGGGACCTAAGGTGCTCACCGCTCCACACAGCTCAGCATTTGCAGCTCTGCGCTGCTGTAATCCGGAACCTGGGAAGTGGAGGCAGGAGGATCAGGAAGGAGTTCAAAGCCAGTTCAGGTCCAGCCTGGACTACATGGTAGATCCTGGCTCAGAGGTTAACAGCACTGGCTGCTCTTCCAGAGGTCCTGAGTTCAATTCCAGAAACCACATGGTGGCTCACAACCATCTGTACTGAAATCTGGTGCCCTCTTCTGGCCTGTGGGCATAGATGCAGATAGAATGCTGTATACATACAATAATTTTTTTAAAAAAGATGTTATTAAAAAAAGATTTATTTATCTATTATGAATGCAACATCCTGCCCGCATGCATGTCCGCAGGCCAGAAGAGGGCACCAGATCTCATTACAGATGGTTGTGAGCCACCATGTGGTTGCTGGGAATTGAACTCAGAACCTCTGGACGAGCAGTCAGTGCTCTTAACCTCTGAGCCATCTCTCCCGCCTGATCCTGTCTTTGAATAAAAAAACTTGGAACTTCACTTTTGTTTTGTGTTGGGATAGGGCCCACTATATAGCCCAGACTTTCTTCAGACTTATGGTCCTCCTGTCTCAGCTTTCACTCCCATCCCCCACCCCTCACCCACCCGAAGCTGGGATCCCAAATGCCGGGCCTGGTTGCAGCCCCTGCCCTGGCTCCCTGCTTCGTGATCTTTTCCCCGTGCCTGGAACTTCCCTGACTGTCTTCCAGCTCTCAACTTGCTGTTCCCTCTGTCGGGAAGTTTCTCCTTCTGCCAGGATGAAAGGGATTAGGGCCCCCTGTGAACCCCCAGAGCCCAATCCCGCCCACCCGGGGGATTTCCATCCTACTGCCTGGGTGAGCGACCTTCTGCTGGACCACGAGGCCGTCATTACTGCCCCCTCCCAGCCAGGAACGGGGTGTCCGGGGTCCCACGCAGTACAACAACTGGCATCTGGCCCCCTCGGCCAGCCTCAGTCCTGACTGCTTTCTGCCCACAGTTCCGGAACTTCAAGATCATCTACCGGCGCTATGCTGGCCTCTACTTCTGCATCTGCGTGGACGTCAACGACAACAACCTGGCCTACCTCGAGGCCATCCATAACTTCGTGGAAGTGAGTCAGTCACGGGCCCGCCTAGGAGGCCCTGGAGTGCTGGGCGGCCCCTGGGCCCTCCGCGGCCTCCCGCTGTGTGCACGGGCCTGTCCTTCCAATCTGCCTCCCCCCGGTCACCTCTCATCTACTCCAGCCAACTGTCCCCTCTGCCCACCCGCCACCTTTGACATGAGTCGCGGCGGGAGTGAGTGGGTGGGTGGGTGAACGTGCCCATACACACGGGCTCCAGCCCGCTCCAGGGCTTGAACGTCAGGCTTGGCAGCAGGTGCCTTCGCTAGCTGAGCCCTCTTGCTGGCCCCTCTTCTGTTGTCTTATCTGCCACCCAGTGATCCTGTCCTCATCGCTTCTGTCACTGTTCTGCCTGTTCTTTTTTTTTTTTTTTTTTTTTGATGCCTGGTCTGTCTGTGTGAGGCAGTGTCTTGCTATGTAGCTCAGGAAGCCCAGGACTCATGATCTAGTTTCCCCGATGCTTGATGAGAGGCAACACAGCTGTCTCCTCCTCCAGCCACTGTGGTGTGTGTGTGTGTGTGTGTGTGTGTGTGTGTGTGTGTGTGTGTGCGTGTGCGTGTGTGCGTGTGCGTGTGTGAGAGTACGACATCTGTGCAGGTGCCCAAGGACCCAGAAGACACTGGACCCCTGCTGTTGGAGTTAGAGGTGGCTGTGAGCCGCTTGATGTGGGTGCTGGGAACCCAACTTGAGTCCTAAAACACCAACCTGTGCTCAAACCACTAACTGTCTCCTCTCTCTCTCTCTCTCTCTCTCTCTCTCTTTGAGACAGGGTCTCGTATAGCCCTAGCTGGCCTCAAATTTGCTGTATAGCTGGGGGGGGACTTAAGTTCTTGATCCTCCTTCCTCTACCTCCCCCTTGCTAGGATTTCAGATGTGGTCTTTCAGGTGGGTCTTGTGAAGATCTGGAGATGGAATCCAGGGCTTCATGAATGCTGAGCAAACACTGGGCTACATCCCCAGGCTTCCTGCCTGTCTTATTTAACGTTTTATGTGTTATTATCTTGTGAGTGTAATGTCTGTGGTATGTATACGTAGGCAGGCACACGGGTGCCGAGGCTCACACATGGAAGTCAGAGAGCCACTTTGGGAGTTGGTTCTCTCCTCCTACCCTGGGATCCAGGGTTTGAACTCAGGTTTGCACAGCAAGCACTGTTACCCGCCACGTTAGTCGTCTAGCCAGCCCGGTGTGTGCCTGTCTCTTATCGCTGCTCTCCATCTTCCTCTCTCAGGTGTTAAATGAGTATTTCCACAATGTCTGTGAACTGGACCTGGTGTTCAACTTCTACAAGGTAGGCTCCTGGGAAGCGGGCAAGAGGCAGCCATAGGGGGCGTGGCTGTAGCTCCTGGGGAAGCGGGCAAGAGGCAGCCATAGGGGGCGTGGCTGTAGCCGCTAGAGACCTGCCTGCCCCTCCCCCCCCCATAATGTTTCCCTGCTCGTGATCCCAAGGGCTGGCTTCCGCATCAGCCAGCCCTTCCTTCCCTCACCCCGGCTTTCCCGGCCTCCCTTCCTTGCCCAGGTTTACACAGTGGTAGACGAGATGTTCCTGGCCGGGGAAATCCGAGAGACCAGCCAGACGAAGGTGCTGAAGCAGCTGCTGATGCTGCAGTCCCTGGAGTGAGGTGGCTTCCGCCCAGCCTGGCCTGCTGGACCAACCTGCCTGTTTACCCCCTGCCAGGCCCGAGGCCCACCCAGCAGCCCCCTCCCTTCCTCGGCTGCCCCAGAGGAAGGACCCAGCAGGGTCTGGGCTGCATGGGAAGAGGCTGCAACCCACTGCCTCTGGACCCTACTTTGATGGCAGAGGCCACCTTGATGTCCTGAGTAACTGTGCCATTGTCGTGTGATGCTGTGAGTGTGCGTGTGTGCAGCCCCCAATAAATCTGTGGTCCTGCCTGGCCCGGCTGTCTCTGAGCCCTTGTCGGTCTCCCCTGGGAACCATAGACCCTTAGGAAGCCTTGCCCCTGGTCCGTCAATGAGACAGTCAACAGTACATCTCGTTGGTCTAAGAAAAGCAAAGAGACCTGCGCATAATTCAGACATGCTTCTGCCTACAAAGGGCCCCCAAGACTGAGGGGTAGCTGGTCTGGACACGAAACCCTTGCTCTAAATTCCTATTCGGTCCTTGGACCTAACAGCACTGAGAATCTGCAACCTGTTCCAAGCTTCATAACCAGCCCCTGGATTTCGTTTGTTCTGAGCGATGCGCTTGCTATGTAGCTTCTCCTGGCATGGCATTCACCTGCCTCTCCATCCCAGGTGTGGACCACAGGTCCAGCTCAGGCCCTGGATTATTGCGGAGTCTTGCCTTCGGCCCCCACAGTCAGGGATTACAGTGCCTCTCCACACCTAGCTTCTGGGCAATTTGTGCTTACAAGATTATGAGGAAGGGATCCTGACTGTCCCTTTTCCCAAGGAACATGGCTGAACTCAGGAAGGTGAGAAGACTTAACCAAAGTTCATTGCCTGTGTTTGGTTGATGTGTAGCTAGCTGCTTTAGAGACCTGGAAGGTAGGCCGGAATGCTTGTTCCTACCCACTAGACCCTGTGGTCCCTGGGAATGTAGGAGCTGTACAAAACTGCTCAGTTTCTCATCAACAGCCCTGTTGCCAAGTGGGCTGGGACAATTCCTGCTGACTATCCTCAGCCTGGGCACACTCTAGTTTCTACCTGAGCATCACAGTAGGCCAGTGTGACAACAGAAGATGACCCTGAAACCGGCCTGGGGGGGCATGTGATGCTAATGCCAGATACTTAAGAGGCTGAGACAGGAGGATCACAAATTCAAGGCTTGCCTGTGCTAGAGAATGAGTTCAAGGCCAGTCAAAGCAAATAGGTGAGACCAGATCTCAAAAGTCAAAAGGGGCTGTGGCATGACTCAAAGGTAGAGCCTCTGCCTAGAATGCCCCAGTGAGGGGCTGGGGGCGTGGCTTAGTGGTAGAGCCCCTGTCTAGAATCCCCCAGTGAGGGGCTGGGGGCGTGGCTTAGTGGTAGAGCCACTGCCTAGAATTCCCCAGTGAGGGGCTGGGGCGTAGCTCAGAGGTAAATTACTTGCCAAGCATGTGTGAGGCCTTGAGTTAAATTCTCCGTATGAAGAAAAGGAAGGAAAAATTGGAAAAAGGGAGCAGGTAAGATAGCTTAGCAGATAAAGATGCTTGCTACCAATCCTGGCGGCCCACATAGTAAAAAGAACTCACATCCACAAGTTGTTCTCTGACTTTCACAAGCATATTATGGCACATGTGCCCCTGCCCTGTCCCCACCCAATAAATAAGGAAAAAAAAAAGTACTCAAAAGCACGGAGGATACATAGGCGTTGGTGGCGCACACCTTTAATCCCAACCCTCAGGAGGCAGAGGCAGGAGGATCTCTGGTCTACAGAGCGAGTTCCCCGGCAGGCTTCCAAGCTACAGAGAAACCCTGTCTCAAAAAACCAAAACCAAGAGCATGGAGGAGGCCTGTGTGCTTCTAATCTCTGAGGAATATGTCCACCCATGACCTCTGGGGGCATAGTGTGATGGCCACCATTGGTTCCCACCTCTGACTGGCACCATAGGCAAGCAAGGGACAGCTCTGATGACACACCGCTTTCTTTCAGATTGCAAGAGACAGGTGTGCCCCAGCGTGTGGTCACTTAGCAGCATGGCCTTCATAAAGTCACTCAGCCTGCCTTGCCCTAGACTCTTCCTCTGGAAAATGTGTTTCTGACAGTTTGTTTTTAGGGCGTTTTTTATTGTTGTTTTTTGGTTTTTGGGGGGGGGGTTTGTGTGTGTGTTTTGAGCCAAGTTCTCACTATGTAACCCAAGCTGACCTTTCACTGATTACCATCCCCCTGCCTCAGCTTCCCTGGAGCTGGGATGACATGCTCAGCTGGCAATAACAGTTTTCCTCATCTGTGTCTGTGTGACTGTCACATTGACTAATCTATGAGTAAACATGCATTGTTTTGTAGACATTAAATGACGACAACGTGCCAGGCATCACCGGAGACCCCAGAGGTAACTATAAAAGAGAGTGGACTGGGCTGTGGCTCAGCTGGTAGAGTGCTCGTCTAGCCTACACAAAGCCCTGGGTTCGGTACCCAGAACCACATAAAGTGGGCGTGGTGGCCCACATCTGGGGAATCCCAGCACTAGGCCGGGCGGTAGAGACCAGAGAATCAGGAGTACAAGTTCTCCATAGCAGATTCAAGACCAGCCTAGGATGTGTGAAACCCTGCCTAGAAATCGAAGCATTTTCAGAAGTGCTGTTGAGATTATCATAAACCTATTCCAGTGACGAAAACAAAACCAGGCCGGCCAGATGGCCCAGCCAGTAAAAGTACTTCCCAAGCAAGCTTGAGTTGGATCCCTGGGGCTTGGGGGAGGTCTGACACAGTGGGCCTGCACCTATCTGTAATCCTATGCCAAGGTGGGAGCCAGAGACAGAAGAAGCTTCGGGAAGCTCACAGGCCAGCTAGCCCCAAGTACATACACAGAAACAAGACAAACCCTGCCTCAACAAGGTGGACCGAGACAACTGACCCCCGAAAGCTGACCTCTGACCTCCACCTGGGCAAACATGCACATGTGTACATGTCACACACACGTCTCAACAGCAAGCCCAGTGACCTCAACGTGGGCCGAGCATCTGACCCCCTCGAAGGAGGGAGTGCAAAAATGAGCAGCCAGGCTGGAAAGCAGCCAAGCAGCGTCTCAGGGAGGTAAACACACACCCTGTGACTCAGCCAGGCTGCTCCTATTGATTTACCCCAAAGAAATAAAAACTGTGTCCACACACTTGTGTGCCTGTGTCCATGGCAGCCTTGTTCACAGAAGCCAAAAGGCAGAACCAACCCGGATGCTAGTCCATTGATGAAGGAAACATCAGTCGATCCACACGGGCAGAATCATCCGGCCATAAAAAGAAATGAGGCTTTGGCACACACCACAGCGTGGACAGGGCACCTGACGGCAGGGAGGAACCATACAAAAGGCCACCAGGAGGAGGTGTGGGTGGAGGCAGGAGGATCAGGTCCACATCGTCCTGAGCTGCATGAGGCCTTGTCTCCAAACAACTGAAAAAAATTCTATGTAGTACCCACTCCAAATATATGAAATGCCCAAATGTCCAGAACAGAAAAGTCTGTTAACACAGAAAGCAGGTTAAGCCGGGCGTTGGTGGCGCACGCCTTTAATCCCAGCACTGGGGAGGCAGAGGCAGGTGGATCTCTGTGAGTTTGAGACCAGCCTGGACTACCAAGCGAGTTCCAGGACAGCCTCCAAAGCCACAGAGAAACCCTGTCTCGAAAAACCAAAAAAAAAAAAAAAAAAAAAAAAAAAAAGAAAGAAAGCAGGTTAGCTGGGAAAGAGAAAGGGGGCACTCTTAATGCACAGGGTCATTTGTGTTTTTGGTAATAGGGATTGATCACAGCCCTGTGTGGGCTGAGTAAAGGCTCTACCACTAATAGATAATACCCTCCAGTAAGTGAGCTTCATAGAATCCCTGAGCCCTCACTGGGGGATTTCAGGCAGATGCCCTAAACTAAGCTTTATACCCAGCCCTTTTATACCCAGCCCTTTTATTTTCCTTCTTACTGATTTTTACTTTTAGAAACAAGTCTCACTAAATACCCAGGCAGGCCTTCAACTCACTGTAGCTCCTGCTCACTTTGACTTTGTGATTCTTACACCTCAACCTCTCAAATGCAGATTCTAGGCCTGCAGCACCAGGTTTATAAGTTTGTTCTGAGACGGGTTTTCATGGTGTAGCCCAGGCTGGCCTCAAATTCATCCCTTGCCTCAGCTTTCTGAGTGTTGGGGTTACCAGCCTGACCCACCACATCTGTCTCACAGGATTTCTCTGGGGTGCTGGCCGCATGGACTTGTAGCCTCTTGGACAGGGAGGCAGTAAGTTCCTGTGGTCAAAGTCACATGTTTCTGGGGACTGTTACAGCAATCCAAGGAACAGACCTGTGGGAATACTAAGCCTCCAGGAAAAGCACTGTCATTTTAAGGCTAAATACGAAACAGATTGCCCAACCAGAAATTAAGATGCAGACTTCGTAGCCGGGAGAAAGTGGTTTTTGCATGGCATGGCAGGAGGCTAGTACCTGAAAACACACATACATGAAAAATAGAATCTTGTGCCGGGCATTGGTGGCGCACATCTTTAATCCCAGCACTCGGGAGGCAGGGGCAGGTGGATCTCTGTGAGTTTGAGACCAGCCTGGTCTACAGAGTGAGTTCCAGGACAGCCAGAGAAACAGAGAAATCCTGTCTTGAAAACAAACAAGCAAACAAAATAATATTTTAATGATTAATTGTATTTTATGTACACTGGTGTTCTGCCTGCATGTGTATCTGTGTGAGGGGGTCAAATTCCCTGCAACTGGAGTTGCCCGGGCTCCATCCTTTAGAATAAGAACAAAAGGGTAGGCTTTCTAGAAAGGCCCGGAAGTGCTTGGACATGGCTGAAAGCGAATCCAAGGTGAAGAAGGAAAAGACTACTTTCCTTTGGCCTTGGGTAGAGAGAATCAGGCTCAGCCCAGAGGGGGAATGTGAGAGTGGAGATAAGGTTGGCCTCAGGCCTGACACCTGCCAGGAGCCTTGTCAAGGTTAACCAGGGTCAGCCAAGGGTTCCCACCTGCCCGTGATGCATTCCTCATATTGGCTGCCACAGCCACCAGCACTCACAGGTAGGGCGCTCCCTCTGCCAGCTGCACAGCCAGGGCAGGGCGGAGCCTACTTTCCTCAACTACAGAGGAGTCACCGTCTTTCCCAGCCCTCAGCCTGGAGTCTCTGAGGGGATTCCTGACCTCACATTCCACATCCCATCCTGCAGGAAATCCTGTTGATTCAGCCTAGAAACACAGAGCTCCCCCCGTCCAGCCACACACACACACACACACACACACATCC